TGTGATGATTTTGAGGTTCACAAGCAGGATTAGATGAGGACACACAGTTTGGTGTGTAACTTCTTGTTTTGTTTTTTATAGTTTGCATTCTTATGTAGGTTTTAGGGAAGTGAGCCACCCTGCCAGCGGACCTGTTTTTTTAGGGTGGTGACAACAATGCTCCATTTTCCTCTGATAATAATAAGAATGAGCTCTATAAATATCAGCTGAATAAAAGTGTTACGTGAGAGGCTTTGATTCCTTCACAGATAGAATTAAATGTTGTAGACAAATCCCTGGCAGCCCAAAAATATTACTGCCAACTGAGTTTTATCACTAAGGAAGTATTAGGATTGTCTTCAGGGAATATAAGAGACAGACAGACAAAGTGAAAACATAGTGAAATGTTGCTTTTCTTCATCCGGATGTTTACTGAGAGAGATCTGTACCTGTTTAATGTAGTCTAGAAGGGTGGGAATACTGCCAATATCAAAGCGAAGTTTTTCAAGAGGTTCCAACCATTTACTGAGCTCTGAAGAATAAAAGAAAGACACATTCACAACAACACTTTCTTATACAACATGATAACTAGGGCTACTCTAACAATAGTTACCTTGTAACTTGGCATTGGTGTCATCAGCCTTGGCTAAGGAGAGCAGTGGAGAAGCAAACTGTTCCATCATCCTCAGTTCATTAGAGCTCTGCACCACAAGTAACACCAGCATACAGGCATAATTATATGTCACTGCTTTGCGAGCCTTCGCTTCACTAAAAGAGAATAAGACAAAAACAGTGGAAACATAATCAGACATCAGTGCAAAGTGATAATGAGGAACAAAAGGTGATGGCGAAGATGCCAGCTGTACCCCTGTCCATCTTTGCTGTGGTGCTGGAGCAGGGTCACCAGACAGGAAAGGTTGTTGTCCAGGCTACAAACGTGGGCCACAGCACTGCGACCGGTCTGAGTGAAGGTCATCAGGTAGAGCGCGTGCAGCAGCCCCAGAACCTCTGCATTGTCCCCTTCCTCCAGCCCGGCTCCTCCCTCTCCTCCTGCAGCCACATGGCTCATGAGCTCTGACAAACCTTGCAAAGCATGCAGCGCCTGCATTAACCACACGCCAAAGCCCTCTTCACCAAACCCGGGCCCGGTGAGAGCTCCCTCTCCACCGGTCAAAGTACTCTCCTCGCTCTCTGCTTCTGACATCGATGCCAGAAGACGCAGCAGCAGGTTTGTGGGGGTGGGCTGGGCGAGAAGGAAGAGCAGACCTGACTGGGTGAGTGACAGGAAGCGCAGGACCTCTCTGACTGCTTGGGTGACACCTACGTGCCCAGCCGCAGCAGCTGCAGACAACACCACTGTCGTGCTCTCCAAGAAATGGCATGCATGCATATACCTGAGAAAAAATAAAGAGCAATATTATAAGTCTAATCAACGAGTTTCTGCATTGTTTAGGGCTTAGGGTCAGCAGGTGTGTGTAAATATGTACCTATACAGTGCTGGATATGGATCGTCTCTCTCCTGTGGTCCCGTTATTCTTGCAGAAGTTGGGAAAGCCTTCCCAGGCGGCTGCACCATGCAGCAAGGGGCCGTCTCTAGCAGGTGATGCAACTCTTCCAGAACCCCTGCCAACCTATCGAGCTCTGCTTCGCTCACAGGGGGGGAGGTTAGTGATGGTTCCTCCTCCATGGGGCTCTCGGCCTCCTCCATGTCCTCCTGTGGATGATAGCTGCGATCAATACAGAAATATATGTACTCTGGCTTTACAAACATACGTGTGTGTGCATGTGTGTACCTGCTGTGTTTCACTCCATGCTGCTGCTGTATGCTGTAGGTCGACCAGTACCTCGTACATGTGACTCTTCTGTAATATGGCGTTGCCAGCAGTTATGACCCTCACGGTTTCTTCACGTAGGAACAGCTGGACTAAATGCTGAGAAGGATATAAAACAGTGATCAGTCTTTATATTGTTTCTTCAACGAGTCAGTGTTTCTACACAGTGTTTTCTGCAATTGTCAAGATAGGGCTGTGAGGTGGACTAGCTTCTAGGTCAGTAACAGGATTTTTGTTCTCTAGCTCTAAGGAAAATCCAACTGGAGTCCAATGTTAAATAATGAATTGGAAAACCCTGAATATATTGTGTTCTGTAAACAGAGAAAAGATTTGGAAGTTCATCCTCGCTAACCTGATATCCACTCTTGTCCGACTCTCCTGTATGTAGGAAAGCCTCCACTCCTGCAGGAGCGCTAGTCAGAGCGTCCAGAGCTCTAAGGATACACAGCTTTAGAGTAGAAGATAAGTGGTCTGTGTGGAGCAGCTCCAGTAAAACACCCAGGGCCCCTTCACGCAGCAGCGCTGTGAGGCCCTGTGGGCACTCAGCCAGGTGTGATGCTAGCTTGGCCCCAGCTTTCAACTGTCTGAGGTTAAGAGCAATTGGTTGTGTGAGAGCCACCTCCATACTCAGAGCTTGGAGAGCCCACTTGGCTAAGACTCCAACTGGATCCTCCACCTCGCTGTCTCCCTGTTTAATTAAATAGGCCAACCCTTTGCTCAGTAGTCCAGGGGCCTCTTCCAGAGCAGTAACCCAGCGAGCATCTCTGTCTTCACCAATGCTACCCAGCAGCTCTTTTAATTGGGCAACAGCCTCAGCTTCTTCTCCAAGTTCTTTTGCATCCCCAGCATCCTTAGGCTCCTCAACAATGGCCTTCTCAAACTGGGTATCAAAACGAGTCTTGTAAGGAGGGGTGAAGTAGAGCAGGGGCCTGAGTTCTCGCTCATATGGGTCATACTGGACCGGTGGGACAGAAGCCAGGTCCTCAGGAGTGTAGTCCATGTCAAAGGTGGGCAACTTGAAGCTACTGTTATCCAGGTCGTCTTCATCACTTGAAATCTGCTCATAACCATCATCACCTGGTAGGATGGGAGAGACAGAAGAGCAGGACAATTTGACAAAGTTAATTTACAGCAAAGAAATTCCCATAAGTCTTTAATTACTATTTGAGTCAGAAAAATGTGCATGAGAATGAATGAGGAGGCCGGTGACTTCTACATATTCCTTGCTTGTTCATAGATATATACCCCGTCATATGTACTCACACACGTCAGCATCACTCCAAACATGCAGGGTTAGTTTGACATGCAGGAGGAGACGACAGCACAAGCTCAGCCAAGGCTGTGAGGATGTGTGAGGTACCACTGCAAACCACAGCTTATGAATCTAGATCATAAGCCTTCAGAGTAGGCCGGCGTCGGGCTACTTGAGAGTTTGAAGCATCCAGCAGTTGTAGATGATGGCAGCATGACAGAGCACACACTCTTGGACTGTCAATCAGCCACAAATGGACCCTTCTCCCATGGCCCCTTGGGAAGTCTGGTGAGTTTGCGGTACCAAGGGGTCCAGGGGCCAAGAGTCCATTTGGGATTGTAGCCTATCCTACTCTCACATAAGCACTCCCCTACCTTCCTCCATTTCCTCTTCCTCGTCCTCACCCTCATCTTCCTCCTCCTCTTCTTCTTCTTCCTCCTCCAGAGCGCTTCCCTCTGTCCGGGCATCCTCTTCCTCCTCCTGCTCCTCCTCTTCATCGCCCTCCTCATGCTCAGCATCCGAATACGTCTCATCAGCAGGCAGGGATCTCTCAGGTGACACGGCCTCTAGGTAGTTATCACGTCCCTCGCGCGGCTCATCTTTGACCACACCCACTGTAGATGTAACAGCAAAGATGCACAGTTTAACCAACATCACAAATTTTGTTCAACATTATGCTGGCTGTCATGGATTACTAAATATAGCAAGACCCAATACATTTTAGTTGTCCTATTGTTGGGATTTAACTGAAATAAGGGGAATCCTTGCTTTTACATTTGAAGCTCTCACCCGTCACTTGGACCTGCTCCTCATCATCATCATCTGGCGGTGGAGGTCCAGGTGGAGTACGAGGCCCTCTGGGTGCTGGTCTGGGTGGGCTGCCATTGTATTGGTCGTCTTTTTCCCACTCTTAAAAACACAAACAATACAACAGATTTACAATGTGATGAACAAATCAGAGCAAAAAGAACTGATAAACTACTCCTTGGATGTTTTTCAGGAGGTGGATGTGAAGGTGAGAGTACTGGGTAGTTTCAGTTTGAGGACGCCCACCTTGTTTAACGATCCTCTTGGGCCCGCTTGGCTGTTGGGGTGGTGGGGGTGGTGGCGGAGGGGGTGAGGCTTGTTCATGTCCGTGCGAGCGCTCCGCTGTACCATACACTGCCACAGTCAGACTGGTGTACCAGCCACGCAGCACCAGGCCGTCTGTGTTCACCTGTACGGACAAACCCATTGAGATATTCACAAATCAAAAGGGAGCAAAAAAAACACTGAAGCTACTTTTAATGTGGACGACTATTTACCTTTCCACTGGGTCTGAACACAATGGACTTGTTCTCATCATACTCCAGACTGAGGGTGCAAAGTGAGAAAGAGAAGATTAAAACATTAGTGCATATATAGAAAAGAAATATTCTTGAACTTGAACAGACAACAAATGCAGGCTTTAGTTATCAACAGTTAAACTCTAGATTATCCCCTTTATTAACAGCACTGAGCTGCTGTGTAATTACGTTTAAAAAGCACTTTGACTCTTCAGACCTCTGTAAATTATTGAAATTAGAGAAGGAGAAGGAGGATTTGGTCCCTGGTTAAACTAAACTCAACCTTATACATTGTTTTGAGGGCTCACAGAAACAAAATACCATGAGACAATCACACACCATGAAAATAAAATGGGATGCAGTGTCTTACTGTCCAACAATCTTTATAAAGTGCCTTCCAACACACTGTTGTATTTTTCACCACTAACACTAACCACTAACAGCAACATGCCAAATAAAAATGTGTAAAGAGATCAGCACCCCAGCTGACCAAACTGATTCTTGGGCTAAAAAAATATTCATCAAAAACATATTTCAGTCATATCTGTTTATGTTGTGGATGATACTTAAATATCAATGAGACAGGTAAAAAAAACTACTCCCACTAAGAGTTTTATCTTACGGACACTTCTAAATAAAGGTTTGTACGCTGGTGTCACTAAGCACACCTCTTTTATTATGAGGTGAGAATAAAAATGCTGGACGGTATTTCATTGGGACCTCTAATGCTCTGTCACTTGTGGTAACTGTGGGTGGGGTTGAGTTTCTGGAGAGACCAGTTAGCCAGCATAGGAACAAAGAGAGCTGATTATAGGTGGGTGCAGCCCCACCTCTGAGAACAGGGTTTAGATGCTACCGTGACAGGCTTGACAGGTGAGACAGACTTAAGCACATTTAGGACCTGACCAGGAAATGCAGAGAAAAGGAGGAGAGGCTTGGAGTGAACAGAAACACAACGAGAGGGTGAAAATCATTCCGACCTGCCCAGTCTGTTGAAGGTGGGGCTGTTGGGTTTGGCCACATTATTGAAGAACAGCTCCAACTGGAAGGCATGAGGAGACGTCTCCCTGGAAACAAAGAAGCACATGTACAGTGATGAGACAGTAAGGGCTCAGTCCTATTTTATTCAGAAGACTGATGAGTTAGTGTTAGAAGTAATGAGTTATACATGAACATAGGGGTGGGCAATAAAATAACATGCACTACATGGACCCTTTATTAGGTACACCTGCATAATGTATTATAATTTAATGAAACATATCTGCTATGAATTTGGAACTTTTTAAAGAGCACAATGTCCGAATTTGTTGATCCCCTCTTTATCAACTGCTCTTCTTCAGTTTGTGCACTGTTATGCACTGACACCATTCATCCAGTTAAATTACTTCACACATTTACACAACAGGCTCAGTGAGAATCAGGACCTGCTCAACAACAGAGATCAGGTGTCAAACTCACTCGTGTTTTTGTTAACGCAATGGACATGTCCATTTCCTACAGGCACACATGTGTATCAGGTATCTGTAGCAAGCAAACATCTCCAGAGGCGATCATTAGCAGTGAGGTTCAGGGGATCCAGCCAATGGAGACGCTCCACTCCAGCCTTTTCTCAACCAAAGCAGTGATACTTGGTCTTAGGGTATATGTCGATACTAAGGATGGCTCAAGTTCCAACACTCTTATTTTCACAAATTTTAAATCTTAACACCAGATAATGTAATAATACCTAAGGAAAGGAAACATGAGGGCTGCAGTAGTATTAAAAACTAAGTCAGCAGCCCTCCAAAAATGTATGGTGACATGTAACAAATGGAGGAAACACTGGTACTGCTGTAGTATATCAGACTGGTGCATCCTTATCTGCTGTATCTGTTCATTCTACAGCATGAAGAAAACATCAACCGTACAGCCAGTGTCATTATATAACAATAGCTTTCCTCAGAGACACAACATGGAGTCCTGCGACATAAGGCATTACCCCAATGGAGTCTCAACATCAGACAGCAGACACTGAGACATCATAAACTCACAGAAACGTTTTGGCAAATTCTTCAAGATGCCTGAAACAATCGACATGAAAACTGCTGCTATTTTAATAGCAAAAAGATGGACCCATCAGAAACCGATTTAGTTGTATGTGCTTGAAATAAACAATAACATCACTTTTGTGGCGTTATTTTTGAAAACATGCTTACTTTGGTAGTGCCTAATAAAACGTCTGGATTAAACCTGTGACATAATATAATTCAACATTTCCAAAAGAATGACCATAAAGTTGAACCAGCCCAATGATGGACTGATAGATGGATGATAGACTATTATTTTCAGAACCCAATGAGATGGCAGCTGAGAGAGAGAGTGTGTGTGTGTGTGTGTGTGTGAGTGTGTGTGTGAGTGTGTGTGTGAGTGTGTGTGTAGCTCTTACCCAAAAGCTCTGCTGTCAGGTAAGTTACTGTGAGCTTTGATTCCTGGAGGAATGACCCGCACCTCTGTGACCAACACCCCGCAAGGAAACCGCACCACGTCCACGTTGGTCAGCTGAGTGGAAACGATCATAAGTTATCACAAACATATAAAGATAATAGAGCAGATGAGTAACCTGTGCTGCTGCATCTGAGATTAACATGTAAACATGGCCAGGCTGCCAGTTAGCATTAGCCATCTGGCTAGCAACACAACAAACTACGAAAGGATGCAACAGAAAGCAGCTGCAGGTACAAGACCGAGTGAATAAAACCACATTTGAATCGTGTACTCTGGTGCATTTAAATGTGCATGTGTGAAGTGTGTGGTCCAACAGCAGCTGTGATCCGCAGCGTTATCATGCGCTACTGTTAGCCAGGCTAACAACGTTAGCTTCGAAGTTAGGCATCACTGTCCCAAACTCCTGAATAAACCAGATCGAGACTTTGAATGCGGGCAGCTGTGTAGGGTATCGAACAGCGGTGTGTGTGGAGGCTTCAGGACAGTTACCTCTGCACTCTGGTGTTTAAACGTATCTAGAAACAGAAGCTCCGTGGAGATGTCCCCCGCCATTGCTTCTTCTGCTATCGTCGGGCCAGGGGGTAAACTTCCGGGTGGCTGAACACTTCCGGAGCAAGTTCAGCTCCAGCGAGGGTTTTGAAAACAAATACAATAATACACACAAAGAAATACAGGCGACATATAATTCTATTTCCCCCCAAAAATAAACATATAACTTTGATCTCCATAAGTTTAAAGCACAAATGTAATTAATTGCATAATCATCATCATTTGTATTAGTTATAATAGTTATTAATAATAAAACAAATGATAATAAATTGAAGGGAAAGCACTGGCTACGTTGTCAGACTATTTATCAAATCTAAAAAATATATCTAAGTCAACTTTATTGAGTACAGGGCATAGAAGGGATTGAAATATAATTTCTCTCTGATCCCTAAACATAACAGAACATATGAGTGCGCAACATATTAAGTACTCAAAACATAGTACACAGTACAACATAGTACAGTCGAAAGGTACATGGTGGATAGGATGAAAATAGTGCAAACGCTTGAGAATGATGGAGATATATACTATATTATCTAATAATTTGATAATGTCACACTTCTCTCAGTTAAAAGAGGGTGAAGATACAGTGTGAAAAGAAGTATATTTAACTGTTTCATTATACAAAGATAGTTTAGAGACAATATAATAACAGTATATCAGTTGATTTATTCAAAATTTAAAACGCCCCTTTGGTTATTAGATTGTTATATGATAAAGGTTTGATAAAGCTAATCTCTGCATTGATTCTTGATTTTTATAAATAGGTTGATTGGTCATTGTGCCAATACGCACAAGCTCTACCAAACGATATAGTATTGATTTACATTTCTAAAAACAATAAACATAGAAAGGGACATTTGGGCTCATAGGTAAACGTTTAAGGTTTTGATGTTTTATTCTTATAGCAGCTGACGACCTGCCGGGGCCCTTACATCCTCATCCATAAGAGAAAAACATATAAAGATGTAGAATGTCTCCGTCCTCCATGGTCTGCCACGTCCCAACATGTAGAGCACCTGGAGGAGGGCGGGGGCAGGTAGAGGGTCACGTGGTCGCACAGGTAGACGCTGCTGTACAAAACCAGGGGCAGGTTCAGCCATTACTCCGAGATGGTGACTGAGGGAGGTTTCGCTTGATCCTTCACACGCGACGAAACCTGGATTTACCGGAGCTCACCTTTCCGCTCAGGTGTCGTTTGTACCTCTCACCTCCCGCCCCGCGCCTCCTCGCCGTGTCCCCAGTCACTGTTCGGTGTCCTCGCGGAGCTTTCCTTTAGTTTTGTCCGGTGGTTGCTGTTGTTTGGACGGAGTGTCTGTGCTCAGATGACGGCACAGGTAGATCACCTGGTGGTGGCTTTCACCGCCACATCTGGCGCCGGCGGAGACCTGCTGGGATCCGACGAGAAGGAGCTGGTGCAGTTGGTCTGGCAGCTGGTGGATGTAAAGAACAAAAAGGTAAAAGAAAAGCAACAAATACCTGTTAATACAGCTCTTATTACATTTGATCAAAGGTATTCTAAAGCAGAACATGTGGTGGTAAATTAAGGAGTGAGCAGTTCAGTAGAAAAGAGACTCAAACTGACAATGATATTAATCTATATTGATTTAGTTTCCTCTTTATATACATCTACTCTAAAACACCTACAAATCCATTATAGGCTGGTATCCAGTATAATGAGAGTACAAATGAATGTGAAAATTATGAGGTGAAACCATAGACTCTATTGGTTATAAGTTTTTTTAAAATAGATCATATGCTTGTGTTTGTCTTTGCTGTTTTATAATCCATGTAATAAACATCTATGTACAGGTTACCTGACACTCTTATGTGTCACTGCACTGTCATACCGAATGTCTTGTAGTCTCTTGAGTTTCTACGTAGGCTGTATTAAGACACGCATGTCTTTTTCCTGTGAACCAGTTGGGCAAGGTGAATGAGCTCCTCATCAAGCCTGACCTCGTAGACTTGACGGAGGAAAAGAAGGAGGAGGATGTGGTGGAGGAGAGCGTTGAGGAGGAGAATGTATCGGGAGCAGACTGTGTTTCCACATCCGCAAACCTCGAGGCAGCTTTAAACCAGGTGATAATGTTTCTCTCAAACAAGACTTTAAGACTTACAGTTATTATCAACACACCGGGAATAGATTATTAACTTTTTTGTCTTTCTTTTCTAAACGTTTGATTTCCTCTGCAGTTTCACCTACAGCTGACAAACGAGGTGAACAGTGCGGGCGCAGGCACGTCGGTGTGTTTGTGTACAGACGGGCAGCTCCACATCCGCCAAGTGATTCACCCCGAGGCCGCCAGCAAGGTGAGTGAGCTGGGTGGGTGCACGCCTCACAGCCAGGGTGGATGTTCACTCACTTCAGCTATAAAGTTTTGTGTCAGCGCTGTGCTCCTGGTTGAACGTAATCGTATGGTGAAAGTGAAGAAACAGTCTCGCAAACCTGTCTAATGACACACGCCCATGCACATACCAGCCTCGTTCACTGTGCGGCAAAGCATCGCCGCACAGGGACTCTGATGAAATTCTCCAACACGACTTCAAACCCATGGTGTTGCGCAGACGACTCAAGTGGCTTGTGCAAACAGCAATATAAGAACAATAAAACGACAGCTGGCACATGTTCACATCCTTTCATCTGATTTCCTCCCTCTCAAGGACATCCTGGTCCCCGACTGTTTCTACACGTTCTTCGACCTGCGGAAAGAGTTCAAGAAGCACTTCCCATCATCTGACCTCAAGGCTTTGAATGTACACACCATGGCAGAGTGTATCCTTCAACACTGTCAACGAGTAAACTGTTTGCATTTGGTGTGCGAGTGACTTTTAGTACTTTTATTTGTACTGTGCTGTAAGATGTGTATTTAATGTTTAACTCTGGGTATTTTGGATTGTTTTTCATATTTTTTCGGACTGTTCTTTGTGTGTAACATGTTGTCATGTGCACATATTATGCTTAAATACACACAACACACGTATTAGAGGTTTATAAGGCACGGGGTGTTGGCTGCAGGACTAGAGGTTTTGAAATGCAAATAGGGAAACAATGGCTGCACCTTACCGAGTGCTCAGTGAAACAGTGTGTTTAGCCAACAGAGAAAACCCCACACACCCACTGAGATAGCAAAACATCTCACTGTGTGTGTGTGTGTGTGTGTGTGTGTGTGTGTGTGTGTGTGTGTGTGTGTGTGTGTGTGTGTGTGTGTGTGTGTGTGTGTGTGTGTNGTGTGTGTGTGTGTGTGTGTCTTTCCTTGTGTGCTGTAGTTTCTTTTTGTGTTCTTTAGTTTTGTTCCCCATTAGTTTCTCCTACTCACACACATAAAAACCTATACATGGGTGACCTGTTTCTGTTATATTGACTGCTCCTAGCTTACGTCCCTTGACAGAATCCCCCTCAGCTCTTAGTGTACCCGTTGATGTGCCCCTCATGTGGGACCCCTCAGCCAGCCTGGACCCTTCAGCCATATTGCCTGCAGAAGCAGCCATACAGCAGGTCCAGATGATGGCCAGCATCGTCCTTGCACTGCTCTCAGAGCCATTCTGTGAGTACACATACTATTTGATTTTACACAATGTGTTAAGCTGGGATTAAACACCTATACATAGAAACATGCTTCAGTGACTTTCCTCTTGTTATATGATTGTAATGGAATATATGTATTTAGATTTTGAACTGTTGCTATAACAAAACAAGACATGTCAATATCTAGGAAATTATGGTTTGGTGAAATGTTTTGCTATTTTCTAACAAGTGACAGGCCAAACAATAAATCAGTTAATTAAAACAATGATTAGAATTGCACTCACCTCCACCAAGGCCCAATAGTCCCCTTAAATTCAAGCGGTTTGAAATGGACACACTTGTACAGATATCAGTCCCCTAAATATGCCGGATTTTGTTCATCCAGATCCAGGACTTTCCTGAGAAATCAGTGAAAGTTATAGAAAGTGAAAAAATATTCCTGGATCCATCCCCGGATCCAGATCTGCACCAAACTTTAATGGAAACCAAACTGTTGCTTTCCTATTACAGCTCACACATTTTCTAACTCAGAGAGAGTCAGTGAGAAGTTTGAGAGTGGAACATGGTGAGTACACTTAGCTCAATATGAATATTCTTGTTGTTTTCTGCCTCTGAAACCAACTCCACGTCCACTCCTGCTGTGCTAATGTGTGTGTGTGTGTGTGTGTGCAGCAGTAAGATGGAGAAAGTGTGCGACAACACAGTGATCAGAGCCAGAGGGTTGCCATGGCAGTCCTCCGATCAGGATATTGCTCGATTCTTCAGAGGACTCAACATTGCCAAGTACGTTGTCGGTTTATTTAAGGCTACTCTCATGTATACAGGCTTATATATGGATTTTTCATCTTTCCTCATATATGGGACATGTCCATTGCTGTTGACTTATGGTCTACAGAGTGCTGTAAGGCTCTTTATGTTGTGTTGTACAGAGGAGGGGCGGCACTGTGTTTGAATGCTCAGGGGAGGAGGAACGGAGAAGCTCTCGTTCGTTTTGTCAATGAAGAACACAGAGACCTGGCTCTGCAGAGACACAAACACCACATGGGCATGAGATACATAGAGGTAACCTGTCTGAACCCACCTAGACATTATAAATTAATAAAATTAGCCACATCACCGAGATTTAATTTAGTTACCTACATGTTTTCCTTTCGTACACCTGATGATGATAATCATTCTTCACCAACTCCTTTCCTGGCAGGTTTACAAAGCAACAGGAGAGGACTTCCTGAAGATAGCTGGAGGTGAGACAATAAAACATTGGACAGCTAACAACATGATACATAGAATTTATTACCACCAGCAACCTGGGTATATGTTTTGGTGTTTTGAACAAAATGTACAGTTGTTAGAATAAATAGATTCCAGCAGGACGAACACGCTGTGGTTTGAAGATTCCAGGTTCACTTCACCATATTGAAATATATACTCGCTCAACTACATTACCCAGACTTATTGTTGCATGTAGGAGCTTGTGTTCATCTATTTTCATGAATGCATTTAGATGTTTGAAGATCAGAAATCTTTGTGTATCCAATAGGAGATAAGCTAGATATCTTTTACCCCAGAATGACAATAACTGCAATGATGTCCAAGCTCTATTTAATCATTTGACCTGCACACTTAAGAAGTTGCTCAATGCGTTTTAATATTAATTCAATTTACTGTAAACTTACCTCATTCCCCTTTTTCCGCAATTCAACTTGCTTGATTATTGTGCTACAAGGATAGAACACGGTGGAGGGATAAAAGTCAAGTTTAGCTTCACTGACTTATAGAAGTGCAAACAGTGCCATAGAAAACACACCAAACCATTACACCAGGAAAACTGAATGCTTCTACAATCTACAATGTGATCGTCTTATGTACTTATGGTCAAGTGGGTGTGTCTGTGTCCTTGTGTGTGTGCCAGGTACCTCCAATGAGGTAGCAATTTTCCTGTCCCGTGAGGACCAGATCATAGTGAGGATGCGGGGTCTTCCTTTCACTGCCACACACGAGCAGGTGCTCGCCTTCTTCTCTCCGGAAGACGGCATTAAAGAGACGTGTCCGGTCAGTGGAGGCAGGGATGGCATCCTATTTGTCCACTACCCAGACGGTCGTCCCACTGGTGATGCGTTTGTCTTGTTTGCCTGCGAGGAACACGCCCAGTGTGCTCTGAGGAAACACAAGGAAATCCTGGGGAGAAGATACATCGAGCTGTTTAAGAGCACGGCAGCAGAGGTCCAACAGGTACGTCAGGGTGTCTGCCTACATGTGGGTGCGCTTCGTGCCACTGTGTACTGCACAGTGGATTTATTTGTGTGTTTAGTTTTAAATTGACAATAGTTTTCTATATTTGCTTTGTCATTTTCGGATTAAGGTTAGTTGATCTACCTCATTTTTATCTTGTTTGTCTTTTTAGGACAAAAAAGTTTGTTTGTGTGCACAGCTTATAATGACAATGTGTGGGTGTGCTCCTTTTTCCACAGTTAGTTGTAGGAAGTATTATTGGTTTAGAGCTTAAGGGTGGGAACCTGCATAACGAGATGGATTGCAACTGTCTCTTTCTTTCTTCCAACGCTCCTCTCTTGTGTGATGAACACATGGACTAATTTTCATATCTATGCTGAAAGATCAGTGTACGCCCACAGTCATATCTACGCAGAGGCCTTTTCTCATGCTTCTATCTATGACGGACTAAGAGGTTTCATTGGTTCTCTCCAGAAATGCAAACATGCGGGTGTTGCGCTGGCAATAGGCCAGTTCCCATCTGACACGGAAACTCCTTTATACAAAGTGCACAAGATGTGTGTTGAAAGGTGGCTTTATGCATCCATCTTTTTTAACTATACATAAGCATTAATGTATCATAATGCGTAGGTGTTTATTTCGGAGTAAGAGGAAAAAGGACGTCCAGCACGTTCTGTTTCATTGACAGTCTTTGCTTCAGGCATTGTATGTTGTTTTTAAACTGTGTGTGTGTTTTAGGTGTTGAACCGGTACTCATCAGCCCCTCTGATCCCCGTGGCCCCTGCCCCCTTGGTGTCAGTTCTACCTGCTGTGTCTCTTCTTCCTCCTCCGGGTGGTTTGAGGGACTGTCTTAGGCTGAGGGGGCTGCCTTACACAGCGAGCATTGAGGACATCCTCACCTTCCTGGGCGAGTTTACACACGACATCAGACCACATGGCGTGCACATGGTCCTCAACCAGCAGGTACATGCAAAAACCGCACTGACACACCCATAGACTCGAATGCTCTCTGACACAATGTTGCAAAAATAATTCGACCGTGTCTGTGTTCAGGGGCGTCCGTCAGGCGACTGCTTCATCCAGATGACCTCAGCAGAGCGAGCACTTCAGGCCTCACAGCGGCTCCACAAACACGTGATGTCCAGCCAGCGAGGGGCGAACAGCCGCTACGTGGAGGTGTTCCCCTGCAGCGCAGAGGAGATGGGCCTGGTGCTGATGGGAGGCTCGCTCTCACACACACTTACACACACACACAACCGGAACAGGAGTGGGACAGGGCTCAGCCCGCCGCCATGTAAGTCCAGACGTAAGTGCTGCTGGGAGCTGGGGGTGCTTCGGGACTGCAGGGTAGGTGGGCTCCTGCCGTGGGGGCAGGGTTGCTGGGTTTTCTCCAATCTAGTACTGTGGGAGGATGAGGATATCTGGTCTAACGAGGAGGATTCAGAACTTTGTGTTGGTGTGTGTGTGTGTGT